CCCTTTCACAGGGGTCGCCTAAGACCATCCTGCATATCAGATATTTACATTACGATTCATAACAGTAGCAACATTACAATTATGAAGTAGCAACGAAAATAATTTTATGTTGGGTCACAACATGAGGAACTGTATTTAAAGGGCCAGAAGGTTGAGAACCACTGGAGTAGTGGGATTTTGCTACTAGCGACGTGGACACTCCAAACCTATGTTTGTGGAGATTTTTACTACGATGGTATTAACATTCACCTTAGTTTCCTAACTTCATTTCAATTGCAAAGCACTGGGTTTCAGGTATAAAAACTCTTCTACTGTTTGAAGGCAGTGTGCTACCACTTCCTGTTGGGGCTCTGGGGGGGGGGGGGGCAAGTGGAGGCATGGAAGATTTCCCCCTCCTCCATGTCAAGTGAGGACACAGCTCATAGTCTCTTTTTACCACATCCACCCCACAGAAAATACAAAGACTAAGATTATTCATGAGATTCACCCCGTTTAACTGTCTACCACCTGTTCCAAACAGTGTCAGGACACTGTTTTTCATGCCTTAATAGCTGCGGCCCTCCATTGAACTGAATTGCAATCATTAAAAAAAAAAAAAAAATCAACACAAAAAGAATTCTAATCCTTCAGAATGAAAAGTAATTTTTAAAAGCTACTATTTTAAAAGGAAGTAGTCACCCTTACAGGAAATATGGGGCAAAAATTAAGGCAAAAAGGGGAAAACTAATTAAACTATTATAAACAAGCAAAGGTCATCCAAGGAGCTTAACAGAAATAGCATCCAAGCGACTCACTCACTGTCAAAGCAGGAGACTGCTTCTGGGAGCGTCAAGCATAGAATGGACAAAAGACTACCCACTCAACCAGTCAGAAACTGTCCTTTACCAACTGGGCTGCAGCATGCATTCAACAATGTAAGAAGGTTACTCTAGGTTTTGAGATGAGTACCAGCATCAAAATTAACGCCCTTTAGCTGCTGTAACAGCTCCAACCAAATCTCTCAGAAATATACTTGAGACGTGACATTTAAAATCTGCTTCCTCAGAAAAGAAAAAGTCCCACTCAAGACTGACTGCCAAGAACTTGCAGCTCAAACTTCCCTAAGCCCAGACATCATAACGCCGGGGAGCTTTCAGACCACTCAATTCCTGTGAAAGAGGCCAGAGCCAACCAGCCAACCACACAGCTTTGCCTACTACTTGATTTGAAGAGTGCTCTATACCCAATTATGCTTTTTAAAGAAATAATAAATTATCCCTAAAACATACAAATAATCACATAACACTTATGACCATCGCACTAGCCCCCAATAATCCCAGAGATTCATGGTAAAATAAGCTGTACGAATTCATTTGAAAGACGCTTAAGTGAGCTCCTCGGAGAAGCCACAAGCATCACCCAGACGACCAAAAGTTAAGATCCTTCAGGCACTTAATTAACCGCAGCTATTTAACAAGGAAAAGGGTGTTAAGGTCACTTGGTTGGCAGCTTAAAACCAGCTTTGATTTCCTCTTCAGTTTATAGGAAGTTAGAGAACTTGTTACCTGAACACAAAGTCTTCCAGTACAAAAGGTGGAAGGACAGCTCCCAGGCCAGATCAGAAAAAAAACTGAATCAAATGAAAATAACCGGGGGTGGGGGGTGCGGGGGGGGGGGGGGGGAATGCTGCTTGTGATTCGTTGAGCAACTCATAATTAAAACCAGAGCAAAAAATACAGGGACCCAGGCAGACTCCTCTGCTGCGAAGTTCTTAAACATTCAAGCCCAAGAATTTAACAACTAAGTGTTGCTTTTCAGGAGATGGTAGTAAAGGTCTCCTATTTTCCTGACCACACCGCTCCCCAAAGTCACCGATTCTCTTAACGCCCCTTCACGCTCGCAGAACAATTTAATGCTCTGGATACATCCTCCTCTCATTGGGCACTTTTCCTCTTTTTCCTGCACTTTGTCCCGAGGAAGCGAGGACAGAAGAGGGTAACAGTGCTCCCAGTTCCTGAAGAAAGTCCTGCTGTCCACGCCCTGCCCTCTCCCACCTCCTCCACCGAGTGCCCGGCCTCCTCCCCCCTTTCATCTCACACCAGCTCTCCTTCACTTTCTCCCCCACGCACCCCACTCGGTCCTCTGGTCCCCTGAACCCTGCCCCGACCTGCAGCTTCCTTCTGCCCCCGCCAGGACACCTCCCCAGACCCCGGTGCCCGGCCCCTCGCCTCCCACCACTCACCCCCGCAACCCCCTCCCGCTGCTGGACTCGCACCATTCGTGCCCCGGTGTCTCCTGTTCCTCTACTTCGCGTCCCTCCCGTTCCCCCAACCCTTCATTTCCCCTTCACATTTCCTTCCTCTTTCCTGTCTTTCCATCCATCTCACACCCACTATCCCTTTCTCTCCCTCCGTGCGGTTCCTTGTGTTCCACACACACACACTTTGTCCCCCGAAGACCCTTCCCTGTCACCCCACCCCTCTCGTTTCCCCCAACACCCCTGCGTCCTTGTTCCATTGGTTCCCCTTTCCCTTTCTTTGCCCCCAAGTTTCCCCTTCACCTCCCAGCCTCACATCTCGGCCCGCCCCTTTCCTCTCTCCGTCTCCCTCGCCCACGGCCCTCGCCGTCCCGCCGGCCCCGGGGTCCTCTCCCTGGGGCCCCCAAGCCCTCCCCCGCCCCCTCTCCAGGCCCCCTCGCCCTCGCCCTCGCCCCCTGTTTCTCACTCCCGGTCCCTGGCAGCGGCCCCTCCCTCACCGATGGTGGAGATGAAGGTGGTGTTAAAGGCGTCCTCCGAAAAGCGGAAAAGGAGGCAGGTCTTGCCCACCCCCGAGTCGCCGATCAGCAGCAGCTTGAACAGATAATCGTACGTCTTCGCCATCTTCTCGCTCCGGCCGTCTGACCCGGGAGCGAGAGCAGCAGCCGAGCGAGGCGGAGAGGGGGCCGCGGCGAGGGGGCGTGCCCGCCCAGCCGCCGCTCGCCCCGCCCCTCGCCCCGCCCCTTCCCTAGGAGAAGGCCTGCGCGCCCCGCCCCGCGTGGCCAATCCGCGGGGGTTTTGTCATCACCGCCCCGAAACCCAGGGCTTCATGGGACTTGTAGTTCCTTCGAGGAGCTTCGGGCGTGCCTGGCGCGTCTGGCGCTGGCGGTACGGACTGCCCCACAGGATAAAAGAAGGTCCGCTCTGGGAGGGGCGGCCAGGTGCACTAGGCGTTTCCGTCCAAGTGAGGAAGGGAGGCCCAGTTTCGAACTCTGCGTATCGCGCCTGTGGGTTATCTGCAGTGCATTATCGGGTACTCAACTTCGTCATTTCTTTTGTGTGCGGGCTGCTTTCAAATCCAGGACCTCGGAATCTGAATCCCGCGGTTCCTGCATCTCTGCTGCCGGGACCCAGAGCTGAGATGCTTTCTTTCCTTATCGTTGCTGTGGCACAGCCTGTGGATTATCTGCAGTGCATTATCTGGCTTCTCCTCCAGTTCCTGCCCTGCACCACCTCTAAGCCCCCTCCCGCAGCCCCTCAGTTACAGAGCTGGAAAAGAATGATTGCCATTCTAACTTGAACCATACTTCTGTTCTCTTCTTCAGACTTCCAGACCAAAGCCAAATACGATGGGTATTTTAGAGGATCTGCTATGCAGACCATTCCCCTCTCCCCGCAGGAGGATGGATAAAAAAAATCTTGGAATTGAACATAGTAGGATTATGCTACAGGTTTATGCCCTTAAAAATTGCAAGCATCATGCGAGGCAGGAACGATGACTACGGGAATCTAGAGTCTATGATTTGGATTTTGTCTTGGTTTAGCTGATTAACTGCACACAGGCTCTCTGTGCCTCGGTTTTCTCCTCTGTAAAGTGGGTATAAATCTAACTGTTTCATAGGACTGTAGGGAAAACTAAATGTGAAAACACTTTGAAATCCACAAGGCCTTGTACAAATGTTAGGATCCCTTCTTCAACCCTCAGAAGACAGGCCCTCACTTAATGGATGACAGATGAAGGGGGGGAAGCAACATTCTGTTATACCCAATTTAATCCTTTATTTACTATTTTAGACTATTTTTTGTTTTTGTGGATGTACTACCATTCAGGTCTCTTTCATTCTCTAGTAGCAGAAACCCCATCAGACCAAGTTCTCCAGAAAGTAGTGTTTACTGGCTCAGGTAAAGTTGAAGGACAAATAAATAGCTAAGGAGGTCTGGACCAGTCAGGGCTCTCTGTCTCTCATCTCTTTTTTTTCCTTCTCAGTTTTAATTCTAATATGTCAAATACCAACAGAAAAGACCCACATGAACAAAAACTCTTTAGGGTCCTCAATAATTTTTTTAAGATGATAAAGGGGTCCTGAGGCCAAAATATTTGAGAAACTGGCCTAGGCATTTGCCTTAGATCAGGGGTGGGCAAACTTTTTGACTCGAGGGCCACAATGGGTTCTTAAACTGGACCAGAGGGCTGGAACAAAAGCATGGATGGAGTGTTTGTGTGAACTAATATAAATTCAAAGTAAACATCATTACATAAAAGGGTACGGTCTTTTATTTCAATAGTTTTATTCATTTCAAACGGGCTGGATCCGGCCTGCAGGCCATAGTTTGCCCATGGCTGCCTTAGATCAAAAGAAACAACTTCTAGTAGGTTATAGGAGGTTATTAAGGGAGCCAGTGGCCTCAACCATCCTATATAATAAAAGGCTAATATGCAAATAGACCAAACAGCAGAACGACTGGTTGCTATGATGTGCACTGACCACCAGGAGGCAGATGCTCAATGCAAGAGCTGCCTCCTGGTGGTCAGTGCGCTCCCACAGGGGGAGCACCACTCAGCCAGAAGCCGGGCTCACAGCTGGTGAGCACAGGGAGGTGGCGGGAGCCTCTCCCGCCTCTATGGCAGCGCTAAGGATAAGGATGTCCAACTATGGCTCCCGGACTTCGAAAGGGTGAAGGCCGAGCTGAAGGCCCCCCTCAAGCACACGAATCTCATGCACTGGGTCTCTAGTTAGTGGAATAAGGAAAAAACATGGACAGCTAGTTGAACAAGACAGCAGGCTTTTATAAAACACATCTTTGTGACTTCATGTACAATGACAGTGATATTTCCTTCTTAGTCTTGGTATGAAAGAAGATTTAGTTGGCTCTAGTGCTGGCCTTCACCTACATGGAAAGAAGATGAAATGTATCATTAATTCACACCTATTGATCATATAGTACCCAGAAGGTTGCTGTAAATCTAAAATCTAATTCCTAGAGCCCACTTGATGGGAACAAAGCTCTAAGGAGGTCAAAAGTCATAATTTCTGCTGCCTAGTGAGGAGGGTTTCTGCCCTCTGCCCCAGGCGGACCCTCCCTGCCCCAGCCAGTTCTTGGGCAAGTCTTTGAACTTTGCCTGAGCAAAGACTGAACAAGTGTGGACAGCTCAGTGCTACATGTTCATCTTTATTCTGAAAAAGAAAAAAGATATCTGCAAAGACAGTGGGATCTTTTTCATAAAATGTGTGCTGATTAAAGTAACATTTAGTCCCACTATCTGCATGCAACTGTTGGCATTCTCTTTTTGTGTGAATAAGAACACACTGCTCTCCCCTTGTGGCTCAGTTGGTTAAAACATCCCCCCATGCACCCAAGGCTCTCGGGTTCAATTCCCAGTCAGAGCATATATCCAGATTTGGGGTTTGATCCCTAGTCAGGGCATGTGCTGAGGCAGCTGATGGATTTTTCTCTCTCCCTCTCCCTTCCTCTCTTTCTAAAAAAGATTAATAGAAAAATAAAAAAATAAAAAAAGCCCTGGCTGGAGCATCCTCCCATATACCGAAAGGTCTCAGGCTCCATTCCCAGTCAGGGCACATACCCAGGTTGCAGGTTCGATCTCTAATTAGAGTGCCTATCCATGTTTCTCTCACATCAATGTTTCTCTCTCTCCTCCTCTCTTTAAAATCAATAAAAATGTATCCTCAGGTGATGATTTTAAAAATAAATAAATAAATAAAAAGAACACACTGATGTGGTAAAAAAAAAAAAAAAAAAAAAAAAAAAAAAAAAAAAAAACAACAACCTAAGGTCAGAAAAGAAGCTAGAGTTAGGAATTTTAAAGTCCCTAAATTTCCTTAGGGGAATTTTGTTAATTGATGGGAATTTTTTTAAAAAAATTCTGTTTTATTCTCACTTCCCTGGTCTTTCTCTGCTACCAAGTGTATATAACATTGTGACTTTCTAACAGGTAAGTCTGTGCACCACCGTTGAACCATTCAAGCATTTTGATACATTGACATTGCTTCGAAGAATCCCATTTTTTCTTTTATGCATTGTTCATCTTCATATTTTGTAAAACAGAATGTTACTTAGAAATGAGGTTTTGGTGGTAGTAACAATACTATTGAATCAAGGCATTTTGCTCAAAAGACTGGACAATCTATTTGTAGATCTAAAGGTACCAAAGGTGACAGGTTGCCACTTTCTTTCTCCAAATGGCATCTTTAGATCTCTTTCTAAAGGAAACCACATCAATACTCTTGTGCCAGTTATCCAAACCCACCCTTGAAATACTACATCACTGCAGAGCCCTAGGCGGACCAGCACATTCAATTTGACCTTGAAAATGTTTATTGAAGCTTTTGCACATGGCAGCTTGACTTACAGAAATCTAGATGTCCAAGTAGTTTACCCTCTGTGTTTTTTGTCAAGCCAGCACTTTTTCTTCCTGCTTTTTGGAAGCTGCTCCTCCCCAACTGGTGACTGTGAATCATGGTACTTTACTCCTCCAGCCACAGAGATGGGCATATGACGGGGCTGGGTCAATCTGAGTTCTTCTCTGTGCATTTTCTAATGATGCAGAAAGGAAGTCTGTGTGGTGTGAGGTCTCTGTGAGCTTTTGGTTTTGATCAGACTCTAGTTCATTTTTCTGTAGTCACTGGTTGCTGCCGTCCTCGATATGTTTAGTTTGTACTCAGGCTAGCCTCACTCACGGTAGCAGGCAGGACTGCCGTGTTGCACAATTCCAAAGGCATTATTCACTTCTTACAGTAGTTTAATCATCTTGCGGGTTAAAGGCCTCCAAGAATCTACAAACATATTCATGAGGGTGTATGTGTTCTCTAGGCAAATTTTCAAATCAATTCAGGCATTCTTTAACTGGTTTAAATTGCTCCGTGACACTTGAGTGCAAGAAATGTCACCTTTCTTAATTGCTTAAATGAAATTATATTTGGCTGAGACTCCTGCTTGTCAAGGGCTGGCACAACTGGTAGCAATCGTCATTGGGACTTTTCCTCCCTTTAATTGTATCCTACAGGAATCCAGGCACTTGCGTGGTCCGGAAAAATGAGGGGCAAAATATCTACTGGCCATCAGTCTGCACCCATGAGTGTTGACGCTTCTGCCCAACCACTCTTGAGTTCTGGTCCTCTGCCATCTGTTGAGCACAGCTGTCCCGGTGGGCTACAAAGATGTCCTTCACGGTGATTATTTTCCCTGACTGATGACTCAGCCACCGAATAAGCTGTCTCTCTGTTATCTAATAATAGTTTGTGTACTTCTTTGTCTTCTCCCTTAAAACTTGAGCTGATGGAGAAAAAGGACATTGCTAGTTTTCCACTTTGTTCCCAGCATGCCTAGCATGATGCCTTACACACATTAGGTACCCAACTGAGTTGTTGAATGGATGAACAACTGACTATCATGCCAGCGGTCAAGGTATTTTAAAAACATCTGGGACACCTTCAGTTTATTTGCCACGAGACTTAGGTATTTTTGGCCTCACCAATACCTTTCTGGTTGTACTCTAGCTTGTATTTGTATGTTATTCATTTTCTAAGTATACTATTCATTGTTGTGTTTAAGAAATTAGTGTTATCCTATATTATTTCTCTAGCTTGTCAAGATCATATTGAATGATAACTCCTCAAAAACACCAATTTCTCTTTTATCACCTGTGTGTCATCAAAAAACATGCTATTTGTTTAGTGATGTTCCAGTGGATAATTCTATAATTATCTTTATCAGAGAGGGACAAACTATACTCTTTCTACCCACTGATGTTTCCTGAGTAATCACTAGGTGAATAATGTCCACTCAAACAAATATTCATTAAGCTCACACGATACAACCAGCTCAGCTAGGCCACCTGGAGGATATAGAGGTCTATCACGTGGTCCCTGTCCTCAGTTTATTTCCCAGCTAATGGAGGAGAGAACGCACAGGTGAAAAGTTTAATGATAAATGGGAGGCAGATATTTGGCTGGTACACACTTCATTTATTCTGATGGGTCAGGTGTCCATTCTGATTGGTTGGTTTTAATTAAGATTGATTAAGCATTCATTCTGATTAGTTGGGTGTCCATTTTAATTATTTGCACATACACTATGATTGGTTAGACTTCCAATCTGATTGGTCAAATGTTCATGCAAAACTGATAGTAAAATATTTTACACTGCATGTAAAAGTTAAATAAAAATGACATGGAAATACAAAAAAAAAAATGCTACATGAAAGTACAGAATCCACTTGAACAACCGATCTCTATAAACCTAACTTCTTAGAACAAAGTCAGCAAGGTGTAGAGAGGATGAAAAGACAGTCTGCATCCCTCAGACCTGGGTTAATGAGCATAACTGAATGAGAGGCTATCTATGGCATGGGCCCCTAGAATATAGGCAAAGGCTATGGTCAATGCCCAGATGAAGGCAAAATTCTTTTCTTGGGAGTAAGAACCTAATCATCCAGAATCGAGAAGAAGCCACCCAAATTGCAAATATCCTGGGTGGCTCCATTTCTGGGCAGGGTCCAACCCACAGAAAGGGGAGGTAGAGCGTAGCCTGCATAGAGAGTCAGCTCAACATTACTCCACGAACGGGTGGGTGGGAATGGGCTGTTCTTATACCGCTTATATTATTTCTTTCTCTGATAATAAAGTTTCTGACAATAAAATATGTTAGTAAAATTCATTCCTTTCATTACCCTCGGCATTGCTATATAGGGTTTTGTGTCAAATGGGGCATATTCAGTAAGTCCTAGGAGATTTGAGGATAGTCTCACATAAGCTAAGTGATTAAATAAAGACTTTTGGGGCCAACTTTAAAATGGACACTGACCCAAAGGCAAAGTCAAGATGTGTCAAAGCTCACAATCAGCATCATAACAGGTATTGGGAAGCATGTGGTAGTAAATAAAACACTAAATGGCTTAACTGGTAAAACTATTTATTCAATCACATACTGAAATAATAAGAAATAGAGGTAGGGACAGGTGAGTAATCCAGCAGCTCAAATGACATGCAGGAAACCCCGTGTCTCTCTTTTGGTTTCTTAGCAGTGCTTCCTCAAAGTAATACTTATTTCAACAGGCTGGCCCCAGGTGGTTGCAAAATGTCTTTCTGAAACTCCTGGGACTCCTTGCTTCCAGATTCAAACAGCAAAATGTACAGCATCCTCTTTTTCAAGAGTTCAAATAAATACCCTAGACCAGTGATGGCGAACCTTTTGAGCTCGGCGTGTCAGCATTTTGAAAAACCCTAACTTAACTCTGGTGCCGTGTCACATATAGAAATTTTTTTATATTTGCAACCATAGTAAAACAAAGACTTATATTTTTGATATTTATTTTGTATATTTAAATGCCATTTAACAAAGAAAAATCAACCAAAAAAATGAGTTCGAGTGTCAACTCTGACACGCGTGTCATAGGTTCGCCATCACTGCCCTAGAACTAACTGAGTTCCCTGGGCCCTGACTGCCCTTCTGTGAACCAACCCTGGGGCCAAGAAGATGGCATAGGTCAATTGGCTTAAGCCACTGAGGCTGAGTGTGGGGTCAGACTCATCCTGAATCACTGGGTTATGTTAGAAATAGAGGAGACAAGGCTGCAGAAGCAACAAATAGAATACCTCCACCTGTTTCAGTGTCAAGTGCATATTGATAGTTGTACCAAGTACTGCTAAGTGGTTGGTTATGTGGAAATTTCTGGAGAAGTCCTGGAGCTGAATACAGAAAAATTCTGACTTGTCATTCTCTCCTTTTTAAAAAAAATATATTTTATTGATTTTAGAGAGGAAGGGAGAGGGAGAGAGAGATAGAAATATCAATGAGAGAGAATCATTGATTGGCTGCCTCCTTGCACGCCCCCTACTGGGGATCAAGCCCGCAATCCAGGCATGTGCCCTAGGCCAGAATCAAACCTGGGACCCTTCAGTCCGCAGACCGACACTCTATCCATTGAGCCAAACCAGCTAGGGCATGACTTGTCATTCTCTTAAACAAATCTTAACTGGGAAGAAGAGGCAGGAAAGAAACATTGTTTTCTAAAGAAAGGAGGTGTGGTCCAATGCTAGAATTAATGTAAGCGCTTAAACACCTGGTCCCTTTCCTTCCCTACTTCAGCAACCAGCTAAGGTTAAGCACTTCGGCAGCCTAGAACTTTGCAAGTTCTCTATCAGGCTCTGTCAAGTCTGTCCTGGGATTCTGTAATGGAAAGAGGGGTAGATTAAGCATCTGGTGACCTGGGTTCAGTTCCCAGCTCTGCCATTAACTAGCTCTGTGACTTTAAAAAAGAACAACCTTTCTGTGCCTCAGTTTCCTCATCTGTAAAATGGCGGAGGGGAGGACTGGATTAGATAATCCTTTTCTGTCTATAAAATCCTTTGGCTCTCAAATTCAAGCTCCCATAACAGGTGACCTAAGGTTTGCCATGGGATTTCTAGTCTTACAGACAAACCAAACACCCTGGTGAATTAAAGGGATTTATCAACAGCCTCCAGACCTAGGGGATCCCAGGAGGCCAGGCAGGGTGTGGTGCTGGGAAAGGAGCCCAAGACACCTAGTTCCTTGTTCTAAATAGCATTCAGTTCACCCTATGACTCAGTTATCAGCACTTCTCTCTTTCGGAGGAGTGAAAAGTTTTAGTCCTCTCTGTGCTGACGACAACCATTTATTGAGTTGCCAATCTATAGGATTAAGAGAAAAATGAATTTCTGCTTTGTATTTTGAACCATATCCAAATCAGACTCCTACCTCAAATTACGACTTAATTTTTCCTGAATCATAGACTATTTTCCCCCAATTTAACAACAAGGGCTTATAGATGGAGTGAATTAGAGAGCAGGCCGAGTACCCAGAACTTATGATAAAACACACTCTCTCTCTCTTGAAATTCCTTGTTCTCACTGCTCAGACAGAACTGAAGAGTTAATATGAAGTCAAGCAGAACTCTTTGATTACTCATTTTTAAGATTTACAATTATGTATACATGATGGTGACAACCTAATAAAATGTTGAACAAATAAGGCAGAATAGGTGATTCTTTGGATCAAAGGTGAATACTCAGGTTAAGAAAAACTGCTAATGAAATTCCAATCACATAGTAATTTCCCACTTATTACTTTCTGAAACTCAAGTAGCTGTATGGTCTAACGGGGCCTGTTTGGGGAATTATCACAACATCTCACTTCTGCAATGAGTGGCGTCATTGGACATTTAATATTCGTTAAGGCTTTTATGAAACAGAGAGGTTTCCATATGTCTCTAGAGCAAAACATTTGTGTTTGCCATCTGCTACTCAAGAGCAGTTTTGTTGAAAAAGAATACAAATTGCTTGGTTCTTTAATTACTTCGAGGTTAGGCCATGTGATAGTTGGGACTATAGGCCAGTCAGTTCACCGTTAGGAGAATACTGTTATTTACTCAGGCACCAACTTAAAGAATTCTTTACAAGCAAATGACCTGAAAAGACATGGAAGCCTAATATCATCGTTGTCCTTTTAACTCAATGCAAAGACCACTGTGAAGCGATATGTGAGATTTTTAAGAGTTGGCCTTAGGGAGACACCATCTAGGACACTGGACTTTAAGGTCAGTTTAGCAAGCATCAGTTTCTCTTTCTGAGTCCTGACCAAAGAAACATATGACTCAACACTTCAAAAAAAGAATTAAAGGATCTGCTTGAGCTCAGTATCAAAGAAAAGGTAATCTAATTTTAATCACCCAGGAGCTAATAACCTGGGCTTTGGACTCTGTGCCATTTGTTTTTCCTTCCACCTTCTCATTAGCTTCTTGAACTGTAGATAATTCTCTGCTCAGTCACATCTCCACTAGCCTATAGATATAGAACATTAGTTGTGCTTAATCAGAAGTAACTACAAACAACAGAGTTAATCCACAAGTAGAAATCCTGGAGCTTACAGATTACTTGATGCTTTTTCTAGCCCGCCTCACTGTAAAATTTCATTCACTGGAGTTATTAACATCTGAACCATAACAAATTGACAAATGAAAGGGACCTGGTTTGGCCAGAACAGCTATGAGATCCTACCACATGGACCTCTGATTTCTAAGACTAGTTTCTGCTTTAAGATGCTATAAAACCAATAAATACAGAGATCGTTTATTGTAATATTTCCAAAGTTCATAATACCTCAGCATACTGAGTGAGTCAGTAGATATTAGTAGGTGAAACTAGAAGAAAGGGTTTCATGGCAAAACCCTTTGGAAAAATGCTGTTATAATAGCGTTTTGATGGTACAACTTCCCAGAACCCTCAACATGCTGGTGTGCACTCTCCCCACACTTCTGCCTGAGGCCCCTTTTTGAGCATCTTATGGGACTGTGTCCTGCAGAATATACGTTGAGAAACTGATTTAATCTAAACCCTTCATTTTAGATACGAAGGTCTACATTGTGAAGTCCTCCTGGACCCAGAACACCTGTTCCTGCCTCCTGGGTTTTTCCTGAACCCCAGGGAAGGGCATCTCATGCAGCCTCTGTCACTTACCACATCCACAGAACCATCAGCCAAGGGGGTGGGGGCGCCAGATGGCTGTTTCCTCCCTACCTGGGGCAGTTGCTTTACCCCCAAGTCCTGGGGAACTGGCAGACATTGTATTAAACTAAAGTGAAAGTCATCTTATGTGCAGAGGCAAATTTACCCAGAATTCTGAAGGTGCAAAAAACTAGATTCTTAAATGAACATTCTGGATGCTGTTTGTTTTTCAGGAAAAAAAAAACCACATCACTAATGTCAAGTAATTAAGCTAATATAAGCTTCTTTTCCTTTTGTATTAGTCTGTATTTTGAATGAGTTGTAGGATGTTAGAGGGTCACATCACACCCAGGCTAACTTCCTAGAGTGACATGTAAATTCTGTAAAATGATCTGCACAATAAAATGTTTTTAAAGATAAATTATTTCAATTTCTTGTAGGCATGGATTATATTCGTATTGTATACCTAATGACTAACACAGGGCTTGGCATATATTAGGCACATGGTGGTAAATATTTTTGCATTAATTAGTAAATTATAATCTGATGATTGGACTTTAATAATGGTAATAATATATTAATGGTTTTAATGATATCCTACCTTTTCAAATATCTCAAAGATAAATTCCTTGACCTGGTTGAGATTTATAAACTGGTTAACACTCCTTATTGTAATCTTTTATTTATTTATTTTTATTTTTTTTTATTGATTAAGTTAATACATATGTGTCCTTATCCCCACATAATCTTTTATTTTAATAAACAATTGCACGGTGATGTGATGTTTCTTTCAGATAATAATAAATAAGCTCACTTCAACATTTGACTTTTAAACTTATGCACACAGACCTCTAACTGGAATGAGCCAGTAGATAACAAGTCCTAACTTCCAGTCATTGTAGAATTCCCCTTTCAGCCACTTGGACTGTATTAAGCATCCTTAGAGACATTGCACATAATAATGAATCTGAAGAAATGTGTGATCCTGGAGGGCCTTCTGAGTCATCAAAGACGGGTGAAGTCATGTTGGTAAATTAGTTTGTATTCTATATTTTCATTCATTTAATAAAAACTTTTTTAGTACCTACAATATATAAAGCAATTCATTAGGTACTATAAGGAAATAAAGATGAAATTTGTACAGACCATCCCTTAAGAAGCCTATGTCCTGGGAGGAGAGGTGGGGCACACACATAAATAATTACAATGCTAGGTAAAATCAGGATATGCAAGTAATGTGCTATTGTGTTAGTTTATGGTCCTTTCAAATTAGTTTATTTTTCTTACAAAACTGGTAGTCTACAGTTAAGCAGATTGCCCAGTGCATTAGAACTCCCCATTTCCTAGCTACTCTGGATAAACAGAAGGCTACATCACTTGGTTATCAGTGATATTAGATTTTACTAGCAGTCACCAGCACCATCAAGAGCCATGCTTCTCATTAGATGGCAAGACAGGACCATCCTAGCAAGCTCTATTGACCAGCACTAAGTCACTTACTGTGGACACACAACTCACCTGAACTGGATGGGCAAAGAGGATGGCGTGGGAACCTGACTTGTGGTGGGGAGGCTGTGGGTATGCTTTCAGGAAGTCAGATACTTGTGTGGGCAGCAATGCAGTAGTAGACGGGCCAAGCTGTCAAGTGATAACCAGAAATGGGGTCAGTATAGGCACACAGATTGTTGCTGGCTCTGCAGAGTGGTTTTGACTGAATGGAGAGTGAATTCGTTGGGGAGGAGACTATGGGGGCAGGGGAAAGACCTGTCTCTCCACACCCTAGAAGTCACTACCACCTGATGTTGGGAATTGACTCTTTTATTCTGATTTGGCCCATATTTTTGTCTCCATTTTAAAAGCAAAAATAAAGATTTAAGAAAATAGTTTATATAACCAACATGTGAAGACCATTATGGAAATACCTCCTCTATATATTAGGAACAATGCTGTCAGAGAAGGTGAGAATAAAGCCTTGGTCTGAGCCAAGAGTCCAGAATTCTGTTAGCATTATTAACATATACATATCTCTATATATAAAAGCCTAAGTGACCATTAAGATGGAATGACCGGAATGATTGGTCGCTATGATGCGCACTGACCACCAGGGGGCAGACACTCAACACAGGAGCTGCCCCCAGCCCGCAGGCCCCGATAACTGATGGGGCCTGCCGGCCAACCAATCTCCCAGTCGCGCCCCGCCCCCCCCCCCCCCCCCCCCCCCCCCGCCAGCAGGTGATAGATCGGGGCTGGGCCCTGGGCTGGGATGGGGAACTGGGGGTGGGTGGTGGCAGACACGGGTCGGGTCGTGAGGAAAGAAGGAAGGGGGAAGTGGGGAGGCGGGGAACCGCACAGTGATGGTGCATGGGTGGGGAGGGAAGGAGGAGGCAGGGAACCTGATTGGCCCTGATTGCCAGCCAGGCCTAGGGACCCCACCCATGCATGAATTTTGTGCACTGGGCCTCTAGTGTTAATATAACACAACAAATTAGCATCAAAGTACACACTTTACACCTTTCCCTATTGACATTTTTGCCTTGAGAATTGATAAAAAATAACTTTTATGTGTGGACATAGTTCCTTTAAAATTAAATGTTGTGAATCATTTATTGTTTTAAAAATTTAGTTAATAAGGAAGCTCATAATTTTAACTTCTTTGCATGTCAAGCCAGGACTATGATCATGACTGATTCTGAGGGGAATGCTATGGACACAGGGATTGGTTTGTCCCATAGCTCCTTGCAACCTGGCTGACGCAAGGACCCCCTCCACAAAGGGCAAGGCAGCACATGCCCACCTGGTGGCCCAGAAAGTCATGCTTTTCTCCTTCCTCCCACTTGGTACCTTTTGGGGAGACACTAGCAGGGATACCCACCATCTAGAGCTTTGGTATATGGTTTTTCATGGGAGCTCAACCTCTCCAGTAAAATATTTAAGTATGGAGTTTATTCATTTGGGTTCTGGCCCTTATACCTTCTGGAGACCATGCCTACTGCCCAGAATAAGTAAGTTATCTGTGAAAGGCAGCAAACAAAACACTTGAAACAGCTCATGCCTCTGTGTTTTACAGTTGAACAATTACTTATGCTATCCAGATTTGTATAGGTTCCAGTATTAACTCACACTTTTGGCTTATTTATTATTTGGCCAGATATCATTTGCTCTTAGGTCTTGGCACGAAGAAGCCTTCTCCTGAGGCCCCCTCCTTAGAAACCCCACCCTTGCTCTCTTCTAGTCACTCCTCCCCACTGGGCAAGGAATCCACAGGCCAGGTGGACGTATTTACTCAGAGCCATGCCCCCCTCTTAGGCCACACTCTAGGAATTCAGAACTCAGAATTCCTGCCAAAAGCCCTGCTTCCAAGATTCGTGTGGGCCTCTTATCCTTCCAAGGGTGGACTATGTCATTGCTATGGCACCACAGGCCCAAGCAGTGGCCAAAAGTGGTTGTGATGTGGCCAGAGCTTGAGCTTATGGGCAGGGGTCCTCATTGTGTGTGTGTGTGTGTGTGTGTGTGTGTGTGTGTGTGTGGCCTGTCATGATGTGGGCCAGGTCTGCAGTGGGAAAGAAGGACACGGGTCAGGGCCAGGACTGCTCTCCATGAACTACCATACTCTGGTGTGGAGCTCTGAGGAGCCAGAAAACTCTAAATCCAAACCCATTTTCCAGGTCATTATGAACAAACAGCGTGTCCCAAAAATGTATGTACACTTTGAATAATTATAAAGGAGTTTTTATTAAAATACATTTCATTTTCAAAATTGAGCTTCAGCTGTTAAAGTGTGTATACATTTTTTTTTGGAACACCCTGTTTTTCTGTTAAGGTAGGAATCTAACTTGTCAGCTTCAGCTACAATTTTTAAGTATTTAGACACATGATATATGGGCCTCCATTTTTATTCTTGCCCTGGGCCTCACAAATATGGGGCTAGACCTGCTTTTGGAATAGGTTTGATTTTTGAGTTTGTTTTAACATCCTATATAATAAAACCCTACTATGCAAATCGACTGAATGGCAGAATGACCGGTTGCTATGATGCACACTGACCACCAGAGGGCAGATGCTTGATGCAGGAGCTGCCCCCTGGTGGTCAGTGCACTCCCAGAGGGAGCGCCACTCAGCCAGAAGCTGGGTTCATGGCTGGCGAGCACAGCGGCGGTGGCAGGAGCCTCTCCTGCCTCCGCTGCAAGCAGGAGGTAAGGAACGAGGGATCCTGGACTGCGAGAGCCCTGGACTGTGAGATGGATGTCCGACTGCTGGCTTAGGCCTGGTCCCCCAGGCCTAAGCCGGCAGTCGGACATCCCCCGAGGGGTCCCAGACCGTGAGAGGGCACAGGCTGGGCTAAAAGACCCCCCCACCCCCAGTGCATGAATTTTGTGCACTGGGCCTCTATCCTATATAATTAAAGGGTAATATGCAAATAGACTGAATGGTGGAACAACCAGAACAACTGAACAACCGAACAACTGGTTGCTATGACGTGCGCTGACCACCAGGGAGTGTGTGCGGAACATAGAGGGCATTGGCCATGGCGGAATGGTGAAGCAGGTGAGTGGGGCACCAGACCAAGGTGGGGTGCCAGTCACTGTCATTGGGGCAAGCCTCTGGTGGTTACTGAAAATTCTTTGCTCCCATGTGCCACAGTTCTGCCCAGTGCTCACACCTGCTGCCGGCGCCAGCCCCACTTGTACCTGCTGCCGGTGCCTGACACCAGTCTTGATCACTCAGCACTATCCACTCAGCACTATCAGCGGGTGTGAGCAGCGGCTGCCAGCCTGATCAACCCTGAGGGCTTCTCCACCTCCCCCTGATCCTGAGGGGCAATCGGGGCAGCAGCCACTGCTCGCACCCACTGCTGGCGCCGGCCCCAATCACTCTGTGCCATCAGCAAGTATGAGCGGGGCCAGCACCATCAGCAAATGGGAGTGGCGGTGGCGGCAGGAGTGGGGCTGCCGGCAGACAGGGGACCGAGGGCTGCGGTGGGAGGGGCTGGGTGGGGGCGCAGGGGATGGGCCGAGACCTGCCCCTATGCCTACTGCAGCCTCGCAGCCCACAGTTCCTTTCAAGGTGCACAAATTCAGGCACTGGGCCCCTAGTTTATAATATAAAGTATCTGATAACAGAGGGTTGAAGTATGAGTAGTGGGGGGGGCTGCTTTCTACCAGGTCAAATGTAGCACAGCTCCCAAGCAACATTCCAACTATGTCTCAGTGGCCCTGTTCCCTGGCCTTATAGGAGAAATTATATGTGTGTGCGTGTATGTGCATGTGTGTATGTGTGTGCACATGCGTGCATGTGCATGTTTAACATCCATTAAGAAACAGAAGAATATGACTTAGCTATTTTGAAATAATTCAAGCCCCACACTGTTGCTCTGGTTTAGTTTATTGCTGTTCCCCTGCCAAGCAACTCTTCCCAGTTGACTTCCTTAAGCTGCTTGGAGTTAAGAGCTGGGCACTCTGAAGGCCTCTTCCAAGTGAAAAAAAAGAAACTATATAGAAAGGGAATTGGGCCAGGTGTCCTTGATTGAATGCCACTTCACTTCAGCAAATCTCTAAGCCCTTCTGTCTGTTTTGTCAGCTGTAAAATGAGCAGACTAATTCGGCCCTCCCGCAGAGTGGCAGGTTTAGTTAATAATGATGGGGACCGGCTTTGTAACGTAAAGTTGTATATACATGGAAAGAAGCACTGGAGCCATGTTATCCAAAGTCTGGAGTGCATCCTGCTTTCCACGGCCACAGTTAAGCCGCTAAGTCCTGGTCACAGGCTGCTACAGACTTCAGGGGTGCTGAAAAGCAGAGTTGGGTCACATTACCTGAACAGAAAGCAGGGTTTGGTAATGGGCGTGGAGCACAGAGTGAGTAAGCAGTGCACGATTCAGATTTCTGGCGGCACCAGGATCCACTGGATCTAGCTGGTGGCAGGTGATGGAATGGTTTCTGCAATCAAAGTACAAAGAACAGGTGTACCCATTTATTCTTGACATTGTCCTGGTAAGATCCTTGAGATCTGAAGTATCTCACTGAAGGGAGATCTCTTTCCAAAGATCTTGCTGAGCTTCTTCCTGTTGTCCCTGCTGTGGTTTGCTGGCCGACAGCTCACTTTAGAGGTGTTTTCCGCTGCAGCAGCGTGGATCAAGCCTGTCTTATCCTTAGGGGGAACATTCCACAGTTCACTTAAAGACATGGCTACATGGCCTACCAGAAGTCATACCCAGCCTGGTGAGAATCACACCTGGGAATTGTTGGTTACTTTGGCTAATATGGGATTTCTGTCTCTCCCACGCAATTCATCTAACAACATTCATATGCAGCAAATCATAACTTTTATATACTCAGTAGACATGATCTCTGCTTCCCTTAATCTCCTGGAGCCTTTGTGTTCCTAGGATGGAGTAACATTCATATTATAACTACAATAGGGGCCCAGTGCATGAAATTCGTGCATGGGTAGGGTCCCTAGGCCTGGCCGGTGATCAGGGCCAATCAGGGCCTTCCTTCCCCTGCTGCAGGCTGCCAGCCAGGGCCTTCTTTCGCTCCATGCCACCCCCTGGTGTTCAGCGCAGATCATAGCAAGTGATCAAACTCCCAGTCTCCCAGTTGAACTCTGAGGGGACACTTTGCATATTAGCCTTTTATATATATAGATTTGTACAGCTTCTTCCTTAATATTAGATGACTTTGAGTTCCTTGAAAACCCTGCGAAGATCTTAATCATTTTCTCATTGTCCTTGACATCAGTGCCTTCCTTATAGGAGACACACACAAAAAACACACACACTTGTTCAAATGCATTTAAAATAAAAAGACCTGATGAGTGAGGAACAATGACAGGAATGGTAATGGGAGTAAAGTGCAGAGTAATCTGTGCATTAAGAAGGCCTAATGCCCATTAGGGAGCTTCATTTTCAAATATTGGAAGATCTAAGTATATTATATTGATTAAGATCAAAGTTTTCAGCAAGACTTAGACTTATATCTTGGTTCAGCAAGTTACCGTCTATGGGACCTTGGGAATGGTTCTGCGCCTTAGTCCCCTCATCTGTAAAATGAGGACAATACTGCTATCCATCTTATAGCGATGTTGTACAGAGTAAATGAGATAATCCATGGAAAGGGCTTCGCACGGTGCTTGGCACAAAGTAAGCACTCATGGTATTATGGTCATCATCATCATGGGCTGTAGGGGAAGGAGTCTGGGTTGCTCTCAGAGCCTAAGAGTAAGTCTTCAGATTTAACAACCGGCCTCCAGAGCTCCCTTCACGCCACCTGATGAATCTGAAGCATGGTCTATTAAGGTCAAAACCTCCAGATTTTCTGCATCTAGAAAATCTGATTTCAGATTTTATTCTTTGGATAGTTAAAGAAGTATGACTAAGACAGTTTTCATTCAGACATAATATGAAGGCTGTTTAAAAAGGCACTTTGCAAATTAATTACTTGTGTCTGTGCATAAGTAATTTTGTTGGTTGTAAAATATATTGTTAGGCAATGTGGATCCTTGTAAACAGGCTCAGTTCCAATATACTTTGTATGTTTTTAGTTTAAACTGGCCTCTCCCCTCACCATGTGGTCCCAAGATTTGATTATTCTATATGGGGGGAAAATGTTTTTGTTGCATATATTCATCACCGATTTGCTGACACTCATGGAGGTGTTTTCAGTTAACAAGCTATGTCCAGTTAATGTTCAGTGTTCCAGGGAGAAGGGGGAAGACTTAAGCCGCTGGAGGGAGTAGTCACCTCCAGGATCTCCATTCCGTCTCTGCCTTTCTTCCTAAGCGCTTTCCCCAGCCCCGTCCACAGGGGCGGGCCCCAGGAGTCACGATCACCCCAAGTGCCCACAGGTTATTAGAGTAGTTACTCCTGACACACACTGAGACAACCAGAGTCTTTTCCAAGGCATCTGGAATTGGGACACGGGCCTTCTGGTCAGTCACTACTGGCCCTGGAACTAGGACAGCATGTAACAGGGAGCTGGCATGGCCATTTTCACTGTGTGTTCTGGGAGGCAGAAAAACTGGAATGTAGAGAAAGGAGACTGAAATGGTGTCAGGGAGAAGCCGAGACGAGAAACCAGGTGACCCCTGAGAGAAGAAGGGAAGTGGCAAAAGAATAGCCATCTCCATTCCCAGTGGCCTCTCAGGGCTTTGTCCTGACCCTCAGGAAGCCCAGCTACCGTTCCTGCCCTGGCCCAGGTCCGGTACACTCTCTGTTTTAGCTCAGGCAAGGTTAGGATGTATCTGTTACGTGAAACCCAAGGAGCCTTGGCTGAGAGTGAGCTGGCACTGCGAGGGAGGCTGAGCCAGGGATTCTGGTTATACAGGCAGGGTCTGCCTGAGAGGACCACCTGGGTGGCCCAGTCACACTGACCTGCCAGAATCAGACACGCACACAAGTAGCTTTCGCTGATGATAAAATTGAATGGAACAGATTCAGAGTAATTCCTGAAAGCTCCCTCTTAATCACTTCCTGGTATATTTTCTTGTGTAGTAGGGTAAATAGGTGGCAGTACAGATGGCACACCCAGAATTTTGTCCAACCCTGAATCCTTCTACAGGGGTGTGCGTGTCTGTGGCTGTCATTGGTCATGCCTGTTGCAGCAAAAACAAAAACACTGGACAGGCACTGGTCTCTTCTCATGATCTGTCAGTCCCTGTTGCTGGGCCACTTGACACTCGTCCACAGCTTTGGCCCTGCACCTGAGTCAGCGACAAATCCTGTCTCTAGCTAAAGGCTTTGAGAAGCTGTTTCTGTGGTTCAGGGGACACGGTTAGGTTACCCTGTGGCTTGTCTTGCTCTGACCAAATACCCTGGTTCTGGCTCCTGGGCTTCTGCCTTTATCCTGACACAGCCTCAGTTCTGATTCCCTCTTGCAGGGCTTGAGTCCTTGATTGCTTGGGCTTCAGTCCCTGCCTCCATAGCCTGGCCAGAACCCCGGCCTCTTCAAAATCAGGACTCTAATTTGAGTACCTTTATTTTTCCCCATAACATACCTGAAATGCAGACCAAGCTGAGAATTTGCTGCCTGCCCCTTGTCCTGTCTGACCCACACTGCCAGTCTGGGTCACTTATGCTATTCTCCCCAATATCTCCCCACCATTCCACCACCCCACTTCACCACTGCCAAAAATCATATTTGCTCCACTTCTGGGACATCCACCTTTTACTAACCTTCCAGATCTAAATCACCATATCACCTTTGACTACTCTGAGGAGCCACATGGTCCTGCAGCTCTGTCTGCCTTTCAGACTTCTGCCCACCGACTTTGACTGGGCACCAATTACAAAGCCTACCTCACAGCAGGGTGACAGGAAGACAGTGTGGTATGGTGGATGAGCATGCCATGAGCATGGGCATCCCGAGTAGATCTGGGTTCAAATCCTTGCTCCTTCACTTGCACAAGTTTCTTAATTCCTCTAGAACTCAAAAGGATTGTTGACGGGATTACATAAGATAATGTATCTGGCAAAATTTATTAGTTTTTGAATAAAATACAAAATTTAGTACTTAAAAAGATACATCTGCCTTTCTTTCCTGCACTTATGTTTTTTTAACAGGTTTATTGGTATATAATTTACATATCATTCAACCCATTGGTTTAAAGGATATACTTCAATGGTATTTAGTGTATTCCCTGGGCTTAGATTCCTTAAAATGCAATTATAGCATAAGGGATATGAGATTTAGTCACAGTTAAAAAATTAAGGATGGTATCAGCTATATGTTTATGGAAATCAATCATGTGGTGCCATTGCATTGCCCAAAAAGCTAATGTGATATTGGGCTGTACTGACACATATATGATGAGCAGAATAAGAGAAGTAATGGCGCCATGTTGTTCTGAGCTGGCAATGTGTTAAGTCATTGGGCCTATTTTAAGAGGGATATGGACAAACTGGAGCACGTCCAGAGAAACATGAAAAGGGTGATGAGAAACTGCAAAGATGTAGGAGTCTGTGATGTTCATCTGAAGAAGTAAAGCCATCCTCAATTAGCGCTGGGGGTGTCATTTGGAAAATAAGTGAAGGTATTGTCTGTGTTCCCTTCCTAGACCGGAACTTCAATAGGTGAGTTTAAGTTAAAAAGAAGATTTTTACATGATGTAAGGAACAATTAGAGCTATCTAAAATTGGAATGAATTGTTCTTTCCTAACCTGAAATTCTATATTTAATATAAACCTCTTTATCTACAAGTCAGAGAGAAACATCTTACAGAACTCTTACTCTGTTACATGTTGTGCTCAGGTGGGCAAAATGATAAAGTCAGCCAACTCTTCTTTATTCAAGGGCATCCAGTGTGGGTTTGTCTAGTAGTCCATTCTTTCCCTTATTTTTCATTCCCATTCTCTGATTTTTGACCTGAGGAAGGAGAAAAGGAAGCCCAAAATTGTCAATATGGATATTTTATTAGTAGTTCTGATGATAACGGCGATATTCCTAAAATAACATTTTGGCGTTACCTGAACAGGAGATTGTGCTCATCTCTTCCCCATTCTGTGTAAACTAACTTCATCTTAGTACTTGACATTGGCCATGGTGGCGACATTTATGGAAATTAGCAAACACTGCAGATCAGTGGCACAACTCTCCCCCGCAGCTCACGCCCCAGTGCTCCCCTGCTTCAGTCTCTGCTACCCAGTGACTGCCAAGCTGCCGTGAGTAATAATGAAGACACACCTTCTGCTATATTTTGGACTATATGTTTCTATAAAAAATATATTTAGAGCCAGTGGTATTTACTTTATGTAAGGGCAATTTGGAATTGAAGTAGTTTAATATAGTTAACTAGCTTCAGATGAGTGGAATATTTAGGAGAAAATATTTGTGGAAGACTAGTCTCACCTTCCACAGCCTTCTAGGCCACACCTTTCTCTGTCGGGAAAATCCAAATAATCACGGTCTGCACAGCTGCTTTCAGAGTGACCATGCAACAGACGAGGAAGACATCTCCAAGATGAAGGCCCTCTGGAAGCAGAAAGGTACAGCTCTCCAAGGCCAGTACTTGTCCTGCACAAGTGCCTCCTTGTGCCACCTGTTGGATTTTGAAGGAGCAAGCTCTCAGCTTTTGATCAAAGGTAAGACTCCTGCAAACTTTCTGCAGATGGAATGTATTCACAATCTCCCCTCAGGCAGGACTGCTGTAAAAACCTTGCATTTTACAAATTATTTTAAGGAAATCACCGTCGGCCCAAGATTCCCAGAGCCAAATGATTTTTATAGTATCAACAAGCTCTAGCAATTACAATTGGGCATTTATTGAGCACTTAAAGCATACTATACACTTTACAAGTATTATCTCACTTTATATTCATTTAACCTTATGAAACAGGTATAAATATTTTCATCTTACAGATGGAGAAACAGCTTAAAGAGGTTAAGTGGCTGTTAGAGTTAAAAAGTTTCTGTGCTCCTAAGAAACAGGGTTTCTATTACCTACTTCTTTGTATATAGCAGACATTTCATAAATAGTTGAATACGTTCTTTAATGTGAATAAATAAAATACCATTCTTAATACTTTAAACCCTTTGGCTCACTAGACTTTTAACCAGCTTTCATTTAATGGTAAAACAGAATGATTTCATTTATTTTGCCTGTACACACTTTCCAAGGGAAGAGCTCACTTTAAAATCTGACCAACCCCACAATGACTTAGGATTGTTTTCCCAGTTTTAGAAACAAGGTAACTGAGGCTTAGCCAGAATTAAGTGGTCTTTTGGTCTTTTCATCACACCAGGTTGTGGCAGAGGAAAACGGTCAAAAGGCATGTATCATGAAAAACCTAGTAAAGTTAAACTGAAATAGAAGGGTTCCAGATAACCTAGTGGTACAATAGTCCTCAAAGAATGACCATCCAGTTAGCTACGTTGAGTATAGCACTCAATGGACACATCCCTGCACTTATTATGCATGGCACTAGGCATGTGGGGGGATGAGACCAAATCCTGATCTTAAGAAGCCTGTGGACTTTTAGGGAAGAAAAGACATAAACACATAAACACAGGAGCTGAAATTACAGTAAAAAGGCATAAAATGAAAACCACACAAGGTAACAATGATTATTAAGCAACTAGAGTCCCAGTGCACGAAATTCGTGCATGGTGGGGGAGGGGGAATCCCCTCAGCCCAGCCTGCACCCTCTCCAATCTGGGACCCCTCAGGGGATGTCCAAATGCCAGTTTAGGACTGATCCTAGGGATTGGGCCTAAATTGGCAGTCAGACGCCCCTCTCACAATCTGGGACTGCTGGCGCCTAACTGCTCACCTGCCTCCCCCCCACACCAGCCTGATCACCTCTAACTGCCTCTGCCTGCTGGCCTGGTCATCCCCAACTGCCCCCCTCTGCCAGCCTGGTTGCCCCCATCTTCCTCCTCCCCCTGTCCAGCCTGGTTTCCCCCAACTGTCCCCCTGCCAGCCTGGTCACCCCAACTTTGTCACCCCCAACTGTCCCCCCTGCCGGCCTGGTCACCCCACACAGGCTGCTGTTCAGTTGTTTGGTCATTTCTCACTAACCCCCTTGCCGGCCTTGTTGCCTCACGCAGCCTGCTGTTTAGTCGTTACTGTTACTGTGATGGTGTCCCAGACAATTTGCATATTCCTCTATTATTATTATAGATGATTAATGTAAGAGCTGCAAGAGTTCAGAAATAGGAGAGATTACATCTGTATAAATTTTTGCTTACCTCAGCATCTTCACAAAACATCTTCACTATGAGCTGTGGGAAGACAATGTAGTTTGAGAGAGTATCTGGCCTCTAAGCAGCTCACTCTTCCTGGAGACTCAGGCAGGTAGTGAAAGGATTTGCAAGAAGCAATAGGTGGAGAGATGAGGAGACCGGAGGCCTGATCGTCAAGGCAGGCAAGACAATGCTGGGAGATCTCACCTGACTACTGAGGCTGGATATTAATGTTTTTTTCTTCCTCTATGCATTTTTCCTATCTCTACCTTGAAGCAGGAACAACCTATAATTCTTCCTGGGATTTGCTTTTGAAAATTTGAGGCCTCAGGAGAACTTAGAGCAGTAGTTCTCAACTTGGCTCCTCATGATACCACCTGGGGAGTTTTAAAAGCTCTGCTGCCTGGGTCCCATCCCCAAATACTCTAATTTAGTTGACCTGGGATGTTCCTTTGGTGGTTCTAATGTGCAACCAAGTTGAAGTATCATTGACTTACAGGATTCCTAGACACAGTAAGAGAGAATGAGATTTGCTGTAATGAACAAAATATCTTGGAGAAGCAGGGGAAAGGGGGAGCTTCCTTGCTCCAGTTTAGAAAAATAGCCTTGAGTTGTTACCCTGGAGTAGTAGGAATCTGGATTCTGGCTTCCTAACAGCCCCACAGGTGTTGGTAGGAGGACTCCAGGGAGATGGCAGTGTGGTGTATCTAGGCCAGTACTTCTCACACTGGGATGTGTACACCAATCACCAGGGCATCTTGTTAAAATGCAGATTCTGACTCAGAAGGTCTGTCTTTCCAAAAAATTCCTAGGTTTTCCCAGTGCTGCTGGTCCACAGAGTGGCAAAGATCTGCATGGCTAGGACTCTAGGTGGTCCCCCTTAATATTCCCAGATTCATCTCAAGCCATGACCTGTTAAACCCAAAGGGTTCCACAGGCAGGGACAATGACATCCCTGGGGTAACTTGGTTAAATTGATGACTGAGGAGCAGATGGAGCGCATCTGCAAAGCCTTCCAGGCTAAAATAAAAAGGAGCGCATCCCAGCAGGGGATCCCCATGTCCAGGGTCTGGCAGATTACACATGGCCCATTCAACCATACAGGGACAATTTACAAGGTTGGGGCGGGGTTAACAGAAACCAACAAAAAATTTGGAGGCACCACCTCTCAGGCCAAAGGGGAGGGAGTAGTGACTGGAATCCCGTGAGAGCTGTGGGAAAGGGACACCTGAAGCAACTGTTATTTGTAGAGAAACACAGCCACTTGGGAGAAAATGAATCATCAAGGATAAATCTAGGAGAATAAATTATCCAATACAGCTCTTCTCCCACTCTGTGATTTCCTACTGATGCCTCCCATCAGCCTAACCCAGGGGTGGGCAAACTTTTTGACTCGAGGGCCACAATGGGTTCTTAAACTGGACCGGTGTGCCGGAACAAAAGCATGGATGGAGTGTTTGTGTGAACTAATACATGTTAACACTGCTGCTGGTGAAGGAGCGGAGGGGAGAGCAAGAGAACCCTCTGCTCTTTCGGCTCCATGGGCCGGATAGAACAGCCGAACGGGCCGGATCCGGCCCGCTGGCCGTAGTTTGCCCACGGCTCTAACCCAACCAGAAACCAGAGGGCAAGAGAACCCAGCTGCTGTAGCCCATCAAAGTCAGCCTTCTGGGCACAGATTGGGTGGTTTAAACAACAGATATTTATTTCTCACATTTATGGAGGCTGGGAAGTCCAAGATCAAGGGCATCAGCAGAGTTGGTGTCTGGAGAGAACCATCTTCCTTGTTCATAGATGGCAGTCTTCAAACTGTCCTTACATGGCAGAGGGAGTGCTCTGGGGCCTCATGTAAGGGCACTAATCCCATTGATGGGCTCCACCCTAGGGACCTAACACCTCCCAAAGGCCCCACCTCCCAATATCATCATATTGGAGGTTAGGATTCAACATTTGAACTTGGGGGTGGGGGGACACCAACATCAGTCTATAACACCATCCCAATAAGGGCTCAGCCTTAGTCAGAAATTAAGTTATGGAAGGTAAAGAAAAGGACAGCACAGTCTGCATCTGAGACTCTTACCCCTAATAGGTGGGCACTTACCTGAGAGTGTCAAACGTCTTCATGAATGACAGATGGATCTGAACCCCTGGTTGTGACCCTGTTGAACTGGTGTGTAGAGAAGACGCGGACTTTCAGAAGTTGCTGCTGATTTCAGGAATGTGTTGAGAATAAGTCACATGTGCTTTGAAACCTGCCAACAGGTGGACAATAGAAGGAAGAAAAAAAAGAATGCAGCCTTGTTACAGTTTGCTGATGACACAGATTTCTCTGAGCTTCTCAGAAAAAAAAAAAAAATACTCAGAAAGGCAGGAGTGTGAAAAGTTATTTAGGCCCCCACCTCACACCCCAAGTTTCTTAAAAACAAAACCTCTGACCATCTTTCTGGGAAAAGAAAGGTACAAACCTGAGAAGCTCTAACCCAGGGAAAAGTGGGATCTGACCTATTTAGAACCAGTCTTGGCCGGCTTGAAATTTAGCACGAGTTGAGCTCCCAGTTTATCCCAAACACCTGTGAGTTTTCCCAGTGTCTGGCATTGGTAAAGGGGGAAAGGAGAGGAGATGACTGCACTTCTGAGGTGAAGTGAACCAGGTGCTGACTGGGAGTTCAGCAGCACCTCCCCAGACCTGGCCAGAGACAACAGCTGGAGAGTTCTCAGGCAGTAAACAGAACTCCAGCTGGCTTTTCATGGTTCTTTGGGAAGCAGGTGGGAGCTCCTCCAGCAGGATGCCTGAGAATCGGCTACCAAGGCAGAGGGACTCTGGGCCCCTTCATCTGACATCAGTGCAAGGGCCTGGGGGACAGTTTAGGAGAAACTGAGTGCTGGAAGGGGAGGCAGAGTTATAAACACAGTTCGGGGCTTCCTGAGAGTTTTATTTCTCAGGTTACCACAGTTTCTCAGAAGTTGGAGGGTTTCCACACTGTATTGGGCATTGGTTACGGAACTGAAGCAATAACTAGGCCTGATCATTAGAAGTTCTGAAACCATCAAGCACCAAAATAAATTCCAGGTTAATTAAAAAGTTAAAGACTAAATATCGCAACAAAAAAATTGGAAGAAAATATAGGCAAATGTTTAGCCGATTCTAAGGTGGCCAAGGCCTGTCTTAAAAAGGAAAACCCAATAGGTTTACAATATACAGCATACCCTGGAGATACTTCGGGTTTGGTTCCAGACCACTGTAATAAAGCAAGTATCGCATTAAAGAGGGATGTAATCCTTTTGCTGGTGGAGAGCCTTGCCTTACATTTGTAAAACATGTGACATCTGTGATACACAATAAACCAAGATGCAATAAAACGAGGTATGCCTGCATTATACAGTGTGTGTGTGTGTATGTAACACAATTAAAATTTACTGTATGATTTTTATTTTTTATTTTTTATTTTTTTTTATTATTAGTTAAGGTATTACAAATGTGTCCTCATCCCCCCCTACTGTATGATTTTTAAATCGCACAAAAATAAAATTAATAGAAAAAAATTGGGAAAATATTTGGTTAATATCCTTAATACAGAAGAACACATAAGGAGGAAATAGATGATGAGCCCAACAGAAAACTGCTAATGAGAAATAAGCATATGGAAAATATTAATTAATACAACAGCGAAATATAACAAAACACCATATAGTTTTTCTGGATTGACTGAAATAGGGAAAACCATAATACCCAATATTGCCAAGGGTGAAAAAAAGGGGGCATTTTCAATCCATCTGGAATGTAAATTGGTTTGACTTTTCTGGAAGGTAATTTGGTCGTTAATATTGTAAACCATTTTATTGTTAATATTGCATAACTTTTAACTCAGCAATTCCTCTTCTAGAAATTTATCCTAAGAACATAATCAAGGATGTGCACAAAGACTAATCTACAGGAATGTTTACCACAGTGTTATTTTAATAGTGAAAACTTGGGGGTCAGTTGTATTGACTGTTAAGATATGACAGAGTTGGGCCCTAACCAGTTTGGCTCAGTGGATAGAGCGTCAGCTTGTGGACTCAAGGGTCCCGGGTTTGATTCCGGTCAAGGGCATGTACCTTGGTTGTGGTCACATCCCCAGTAGGGAGTGTGCAGGGCAGCTGATCGATGTTTCTAACTCTCTATCCCTCTCCCTTCCTCTCTGTAAAAAATCAATAAAATATATTTTTTAAAAAGATATGACAGAGTTGGGTGATGGGTACATGGGTCTTCATTATTGTATTTGTTTTCTATTGTTGCTATAACAAATTACCATAAAGTTAGTGGCTTAAAACGACGCAAATTTGTTATCTTACAGTTCTGTAGTTCAGTCTGACCCGGGTCTCACTGTTAAAATTGAGGGGCTGGCAGCAATGAGTCCCTCCTGGAGGCTCTTGGAGAGTCCATTTCCTTGCCTTTTCCAGCTCCTGGAGGCTGCTCACATTCCTTGGCCCATGTCCCTTCTTCCATCTTCAAAGCCAGCAACATAGCATCTCTCAGACCCTTCTTCATCATCACAGCTTTTTTCTTTTTAATTCTCTTTTTCTGTCTTTTTCTTCCACTTTTAAGGACTCTTGTGATTACATTGGCCCTACCTGGGTAGCCAAGCATAATTTTCCTGGTTTAAAGTCAGGTAGTTTGTAACCGTAATTCAACTTGCCATGTAACTGTAAGTCTTGGGGATTAGGACATTGAAGACTTTGGGGTCCACTATTTTGCCTACTCAATTGCATTATTCTATATACTTATCCATCTGAAAATATTTATTATTTAAGATATTAAATATTTAAAAACCCAAACTTAATTCCAATTTAGCATGTGGATGAAAGGAGGATATATATTCATACGATAACTACTATGTGCCTATCCTATATAATAAAACCCTAATATGCAAATCGACCAAATGGTGGAACCACTGGACACTATAAGGTGCACTGACCACCAGGGGGCAGACACTCAATGCAGGATCTGCCCCCTGGTGGTCAGTGCACTCCCACAGGGGTAGCGCCTCTCAGCCAGAAGCTGGGCTCACTGCTGGTGAGCGCAGCTGCAGTGGTGGGAGCCTCTCTGGCCTCAGCTACAGGTGGGCAGTAAGGAGCAAGGGGTCCTGGACTGTGAGAGGGATGTCCGCCTGCCCGCCTCCCAGCTTGGGCCTTCTATCCACAGACATCCCCTGGCAGCCGGACATCCCCAAGGGGTCCGAGACTGTGAGGTGGGAGTGCAGGCTGGGCTGAGGGATCCCCCCAGTGCATGAAATTTTGTGCACCAGGCCTCTAGTTAAAAGTCACAATTAGGAAAATATGTAGTAACATGGAATGATGTTCATTATACAGTGTGGGGGAGATGAAGTCCAAAAAGGAATATGCACAAGGTATCCATTATGTTAAACAAAACCCAAAACAAGCCTATTTGTAAGTGAATAAAGAAATGTTTGAAAGGACAGAGGTCAAAATGTTTAATATGTTTATCTCTGCATGGTAATCTTAATTTTCTGTTTTTCTGCATTTTCCAAAATGTGTATTATACATATTTTATTTTTGCAAGCAGAGAAACAGGTGATTAAGAACGCCTACCTAGGACCATTTTCTGGCCAAGAGTCTCCCTGGTTTCCTAGCGGTCGATCACATTCCCTCACTCACACTCTTCCCTCAAGCTTGTCCTCCTCATCAGAACGTTTTCTAACGGTGACCCAGCCAGGAGTCTGCATGCGCCTCGGGGGCAGGCAGGAGGCGCTAGTGACGGCGCGCGGCAGCGAACTGGCCGCGAATCGCGCCGAGAAACTTTTCCAGGGCACAGCCCGCCCAAGGCACAGCTCCACCCCGCGGAGCGCTTGGCAGCCGCTGCCTTGGAAGCCGATGCTCGCGTATAGGAGCCTCTTTCCTAGCCGCTGGCACAGGTTACAGTTAACTAATAATATTGTGTTCAGTACCCAAAAGAGCAGAGGACGGCGGCCTAGCGACCAGCGGCCGCACCCCCTCTCCGCGGCCCACGCCCGAGGGGCTTCCCGGCCGGGCACACCCCGCCGGGCCGACCCCGGGCGCCGCGGGTCCAGTGCGGAGCCCTACGGCCGGCGGCGCAGCCCTGGGCCCGTTAGGTTGGCGGAGCGCGGGCCGCGGAGCCCGGGACCGCGGACAGGCCGGGCCGAGGCGCACCCACCACCGAGAGGAGCGCCTAGAGCGGCCGCCCGCCGCCCCGCCCCCTCCGGCCTCCCCTCCCCCGGAAGTCGGTGCGGCGGCCGATCGCGTGCTGCTCCCCTGGGTGTCGCTAGGAGATCGGGACGGGCTGCGCCTGCGAGACGATCAACATGCCTGTGAGCCGTTTACTTTCGGGCCGGGGCTGCTCCGGGTGCCGAGGGGCCGGGGCGGGTTGGCCCGACGTCCCGCGGGCCTGCGGCTCCCTGCGGCTCCCTGCGGCTCGCGGCCACGCGGCCGGGGTCGCGCGTGGCGGACTTGCGGGGGCGGCGCGCCCGGCCGGCCCTGCGGGCGGAGAGTGGGGGAGGGGCGGCGGCGGGGAGGGGCCGCTCCGGAACCTAACCCGGGATCTTCGGAGTCCTGGGGCTCTCCGAGTGGCGTGGTGCGAGCCCCCTCCGCCTGGTCTCGGGAGCGATTTTCTGCCCGTTTCCTTTTTAAAACCGAACTTCGCAGCTGCCTTTCGCGTGAGCTCCGCCCAGGGCGGTCGCGCCGCAGCCACGCAAGGCCCGGTCCGGGCAGATGTCGGGCCCTGGGGTCCGCAGCCCCTCCGCGGGTCGGACCCGGCGGGCCCGGGGTCGCGGTCCCGTCCCGACTTGGCACCGCAGGGGTGTTTCTATTGGAGACGGTTCCTCGGTGGAGCCAAGGAGAACCGGGTGAACCTGACCATATGTTTCCCGGTGGCCGGAGAGCCGCGTTCCCGGGACCGGGGGACGTAAACGTCATGAAAAGTACCGAAGAGGGTTAGCGAGCTCCACGGAGCAACACCCGGGGCGTGGCCTCTGCCGATCGGGCTGCTTTTTGCGTGTACTTTCCGCGTATGGTCGCGTCTGCCGGCGCTGTGGTTTCATTCCGGTAGTAATCATGTGCTCTTTTTATTCAGTTGGCTCGAGATTTACTACACCCGTCCTTGGAAGAGGAAAAGAAAAAACACAAAAAGAAACGGCTAGTTCAAAGTCCAAATTCTTATTTTATGGATGTAAAATGCCCAGGTAAAGTTTCAAACTTAATTCTTTCCTAATGAAAATTCCTATGGGGATTGCTGGTGTGGCGTGTGTATTTGGTACCTTAGGACCCTCTGGTGAGAAGTGGGGTTACAGAACTGGGTGTTTTCATCATAAACGTATTCAGACCACGATGGAAACATTTCGGGGTGGGGGTCAGTCAGGGGTGAGGGGTGAAGATGGGACTCCCCAGGGAATATGGCATTTGATGTACTAAGTCTTCAAGCTGATGAGATGATGAGCTGCTTTTTCATGATGCAATGAAAAGTATGTTGATTCTTGAGGGTAAAGCAGTGCTGCCCAGTAGGGCGGTGCGGTCATAGCTGTACGTGTGGCTACTGAACCCTTGAAATGTGGCTACTCGAAATGAAAATATTCTATAAGTGCAAATCACACACCAGATTCTGAAGGTGTAGCTTCCCTCCCCCCACGTATTGGTTACATGTTGAGATGATAATGTTTAACAAGTCTGTGGCTACGAGACAAGTTGGTTGCATCTGTGGCTTCTATTGCACAGCACTAGAGTACTTCATCGTTCACAAGGTCTCTACTAGGGTCACGTTGAACAAGTGCTGTGTATTCTTCTGCTTTTCACTTTTAACTGCCCCTTTTCTAGGTTGCTACAAGATCACCACGGTTTTCAGCCACGCTCAGACGGTGGTTCTTTGCGTAGGTTGCTCAACCGTGTTGTGCCAGCCGACAGGAGGAAAGGCGCGACTCACGGAAGGTATAGCACCTGGCATTTTCTAACCCGTGATGAGATTTCATGATTGTAAATGTCTATCTTTACGAAAAGCCAATTTAAAAGAAACCTTAAATTCGTGATTACCAAAATAATTCTGTCTTTTGATTGTGTACTCTTTTAGTAAAGAGTGTCCTGTTCAGTCTGACCTTGCAAAGAACTTTGAATATTATTTTTTTTTTAGGATGGAACACTTTACTTTGCTGTATTTAATCACTTAGTTTGCCTAACTTGGGATATTAAACATAAATCAGAATGGAGCAAAAGAAGAGTATACAATAGGACATGGTTTTTTATAAAACAGGATTTAAAAACTTCTCTTGTAACCCTTGCCTGTTTGGCTCAGTGGATAGAGTGTGGGCCCATGGACTGATTTCTTTTGTAAATATTTTGTTTCATATGTATATGGTACATAAGACTTAAGACAGTTTTTATCATTGCTAGTTAAGTAACAGATAATATATAAATTTAAATGCTATCTCTGAGTAACTACTTAATGGTTAATATAAAAAATTGAATTTTAATCGTTTTTCATTTTCGTGCAGTAGGAAAAAAATAATTCCGTATATAGTTTTCCATGGTACAACTTGTAGATTTAGAATTCTATATGATACTTGAAATTTGCTTGTGATATTTTGGGGAATTGTGAATTCTCTGTTGTTCTCACTGGGAGAGTTATAAGTGGATTGGCAACAAATTCAAGATCTATTTGATATGATCTGGTAAGATATAAGTATGAAGTCAACATACTTGCAACATAAAGTTTTAACTAACAAATTCAGGCTCCTGGTCTTAAATAGACTCCATTATAGCATTTGAGAAACAGGAGTGACAGAGTCACATTAGAGTAAATTCAAATATAAACGATTTATTATAGCAAATTTCTGGTATGAAAGAATAAATAACCTAAATATGAATATTAATGTAATATCCCTAAAATATAAGTTTTTACTTGTGTTTTTTGCCATTAAAACTATACCAAAGGAAAACAAACCAAAAACTATACCAAGAACAGAATTAGACTTGTGTTTAATATGCTTTTGTAATTCTATTGCAGGATGTTCATTTAGAAGAAAGCAACACTAATGATCCACACAGCTTCCTGAATTTGGGTTATATCACAAAAAGCCTTATCAGTTTAGTAATTCTACTTAATCTACCAGGATAATGTAATTACATTTAATTTTGTAAGTATACAACAGTGATCTCCTATTTTGGTGTCAATTTTTCAATAAAGTTTTGATTATGGGAAAATTCCCCCTATTTGCCTCTTTTTTTCAAAGTATGTGTGCATGCTATACATTAATATATACTTTGTTAATTTGGTTTAAATGAATGGAGCTAAATAATTACAAATGGGAAAAAGTCCATTATTTGTTAATTCTAAATATAGTTTTGCTATTATAACCATGGAAATGCATTTTAGAAGTACATGTTTAATGTAACAATCACAGTGTAATGCCTTGGATTTTTATGGTCGTAATACACAGCATAATTAGGACTGTGTTGGGGGTCTGAGTTATAGGAAACTCCTTTGGGGATAGAAAATGTGAGGAGGAATCAGAAGCATCGCGACTTACCCTAGGACAGTGATGGCGAACCTATGACACGCGTGTCAGAGGTGACATGCGAACTCATTTTTTGGTTGATTTTTCTTTGTTAAATGGCATTTAAATATATAAAATAAATATCAAAAATATAAGTCTTTGTTTTACTATGGTTGCAAATATCAAAAAATTTGTATTTGTGACACGGCACCAGACTTAAGTTAGGGGTTTTCAAAATGTTGACACGCCAAGCTCAAAAGGTTCGCCATCACTGCCCTAGGATGTGTGATGGGGGATGGTGGCAGGTATTGAATTCTCTGGTCTAGACAGATAAGCACTCCCGACTACACATGTGTCAAGTGGCTCTCATTGTCATTTTTATAGTTTATGAAATGGTCTGTGGAG